GATTTTTAAGATTGGAAATGAAAGTTCGGATGTTATATAAGCTAAAGGAAAGCTTATATGACATTAAAACAACAAGATAAGTGTTTTAGAGATAGATTTGGAAAATGAGTTTTTAGATGAAATTTTGATATGGATGAGTTTTTGATGTTTGAATCAGATTTTTGACTTGTCAATAAGCTAATTAAGAAGTATGAAGTAATAGAATTGAAATTAGAACAAGTTGAAATTGGAGTAAGATTCTTCAATTCTATATGGATGAGTAGTTTTCTTAGTTTTAGAGGTATTGAATGGATAATAATTAGTTTAAGTAAGTGTATGAGAGCTAAGAGTAGTAAAGAAAGTGAAATATGTATGTTTGAGCTGAAATGGGATGATTTCCGAGCTCAAATTAGGATTTTCGGGCTAGGGGAATCGGTACCCATTCAAGGGGAACCGATACCCCTTCAACGAACATGATTTCCAGAATGCTAGAGGGGAATCGATACCCCCATGGGGGAACCGATACCCCCTCATCGTATATGAAATTCCAGAATGCTTGTGGGGAATCGATACCCCCAGGGGGGAACCGATTCCCCCATGAGAAAAAAAAATGAAAGAAAAGGAAGAAAGACTCAGCTATAAATTCCTTAATTAGTAGGCTATTAAAGCTTAATTTCAAGACATAGACATCTGATGATCATCTTGAAAATTATGTTTATGTAGATACCGAGCCTACTCGAGTTCGGGAACAATCTACAAGTAGAATCGATCGAGGAAAAGGCAAAGAAATATAGGTGAGTGCATATGCATAGCATGAATATAGTATTATATTCAGTTCTAGACTTGTGATAAGTCTAGATTCCATATTTTGACATATGATCACATTCCATATTATGATACATTACATGAATTTATATTAAATGTATTACATGACATGAATTCATATGATATGTATTGCATGACATGAATATGCAGAAAAAGTTATATGAGCTATGTGATAAAGGTATGGAAATAATATGACTACGTGATATAGACTACGTGAAATGTAAAAGCCCATGTTATGTAGATGAGAACTATAGGTATAGTTGGCATGCCAAGAGTAGAGGGTCTGTTCGGTTCTTTAGGACATATGTATATTCTTTGGAACCTGTGTGAAGTCTTGAAAGACACATACTTGATCCCTAGTATATGTATATGATTCTTAAGGAATTCTATGTGGTCCTTATGGACATTATTATATGGCACTACGGTGCAATTCTATTCGGTTCTTTAGGACATATGTATATTCTTTGGAACCTGTGTGAAGTCTTGAAAGACACATACTTGATCCATAGTATATGTATATGATTCTTAAGGAATTCTACGTGGTCCTTATGGACATCATTATATGGCACTACGGTGCAATTCTACGGGGCACTTCGGTGCATTTATACGAGCTGTGGTGACAACATAGTGCACAACCTCACATTACTCAGATACCTTAGGTTCTCAATATTCTATCATGGGCCAGTAAACTTATTAATACAGATTCATGAATGTTACAGTCATACGCTTACAGGTATGGATATGAATGATGTATATTACATGGATTAAGTACATGTTTGCATCTCATCTCATATGATCATGATATCTTCATTACATGTGCTTTATTATTATTGCCTCACTAAGTCGATGACTTAGCGTGTGAGTGTTTCACACGTAGGATCCGAGGAATTAGACGAGACAGGTGAAGCAGCTTGACAGTATTACTCCTGCAACCATCAGATCAGAAGCAACTTAATCAGTAGGTCATTTTGTTATGTAAATAGCAGTTGGCATGTAATTAAAGGGTTAAGTTGTGTATGCTCTGAATATTTTGGTAAACTTATATTACAGTATGTATATTATTGTATTTTCTTAATATAAGATCAAATATTTTTCTATTATTTATTAAGAGTTGTGTTTTAAAGTCAATGTAATATCTCTGACTCATATCCGGGTCGGGTATGGGTTGGGGGTGTTACAGCTTTGATATCTTCATTTGGTTTCATCCTGAATTTTTCATAGCTATGAGTTAGGAGACCAATTTTAGATTCTTTTACCTCGTTTGTGCCTTCATGAGTGCCTTGTAGTTTATCCCATCTCTCCTTGGTGGTTGTACAAGATGAAAATCTCCCGTATTCATCCGGTCCAAGAGCACAAAATATGATATGGATAGCCTTTGAGTTGATCTGGAACATTATTGTCTCTACTTCACTCCACATTCTCGAATGAGTGAAAGGAATGATGTATCCATCTTCTATGATATTCCATGCTCCCATGACACTTGCTTGAATGAAGTACCTCATTCTACTATTCCAATAAACATAATTAGCTTCATTGAAGAAAGGAGGCTTGTTGACGGGCATTGAATCAAGACCAACATCGAAGTTTGAAGTGGAGGTCATTGATGACTTGATTATCGATATAACTCTTCCCGAATCGACTCAAGAGGCGATTAAACCTTCAAATGAGTGAGACTTTGATACCAATTTGTTGACTTAATTGATAGACGAATCAGCCAAGAGGAGGTGAATTGGCAATAAAAATTTTGGTGGAAGCTTTTGCAAAAAATTGAAAATATTTGCACAGTGATTTAGAGTGGTTCGACTTTCTTAATCAAAGTCTACGTCCACTACCTTAGCTATACACACTAAGGATTTTCCAACAAATTCACTAATTTATTCTTTCTTTTGAGGACAAAGAGTAACCTTACAACTCCCTCAAGAATTTTACCCCAAATTCTTGAGCACACTCTCTCCCAAAGAGAAATACACAAATTTGCAAACTTACAAGAAAAACCTCACAAGGTAGATTGTTTGCACAATTCTAGAACAAAGAAAGAACACTCAAAGATAAATACAATAGAGCACAAATAGTGTTCTTGAAAGCAAAATGAATATTGAATGAAAAACAGGCTTGAAGTGTTTAAACTTGAGGTTTGATGTTTTCTCTTTGTTTCTCTCTATTCTCTTCTTAATTGTTGTTGATCAATGACTCCTAAGCTTGTTTAAATACTCCTTGGATCACTTTTGAATGTTGGGGATCATTAGTGGAGTCAATAGAGCCGTTAGTGTGTGAAAATAATTAATAAAATAGTTGGGAGCGTATGGTGCATCGATGCGTAGCCAAGGTGCATCGGTACACTATGTTTAAAATTCAAATATTTCGACCGTTGGAAGACTTAGTGCATCGGTACACTAGGGGTACATCGATTCACTAATTACATTCGATGTTTTAAACAAGCCTGGAGTGCATCGATACATGGTCTGTGCATCGATACACAAAATACAATTCAATGTTCAAAATATTCAGGAGTGCATCGATGCATGGCTTGTGCATCGGTACACAAAATGCATTCGAAATGGGTGTGCATCGATGCATCAAATGAGTGCAACGGTACATCACTCTGTAAAATTGATTTTTGGCTCGTTTTTGGTTCGAAATACTTTGTTTCAAAAATATTTTAAGTATAAAACACAATTTTACACTTTAGTAAGGATTGAAATTGAACTTTGAAAAACTTGGAGTAATATTTTGATATTCAAATAATTGAATCGAAAATACTTTGAAAATGATTTGTAAAATCTTAAAATTCATTTATATGTAAATTTTTATATCAAAACATCAAAATGTTTTCAACACATTGGCTTGCGATGAGCCAGTGATGGAGTTACTATGGTAAGAAGTGACTCCTAAAATATTATTTGATTTGCAATGCATGCCTAAGTTATATGTGTTTACATGATTTGATAAATGATATATGATTCATATGATATGTGATACAAGAAAAGACATATGTGATTACAAGAGAAATGACATGAATACATGAATATATGAAGCATAAAAATAATGCCCATGTTATATGATATGAGAGCTAAGGGTATAGTTGGAATGCTAAGAGTCGAGGGTTCTACATGGTCCTTCGGGACATATTTGTTATAAGTGGTCTTTCGGGACAAATTTCACATGCCCCTAGTGGGATCCCATACGAGCTGTGGTGACAGTATATGTGCACAATCTCAATGTACTCGAATACCTTAAAGTTCTCAGTAATGTACATGGGCTTACAAAGGTATCAAAAGTGTTTGCATTATTACATGTTATTATGTTATTACTATCTATACTGAATCATATGTGACATGATAGAATAATTAGATTACATGTTCACATGTATATGAGGTGCATTGTTATTATATTTTATGTCTCACTAAGTCTATGACTTAGCGTGTAAACGTTTTACACGTAGGTACCGAAAAGCAAGAGGATCAAATATAAGCTCAGTAGAACAATATATCTCCACTCGAAGATCATATCAGAAGTAAATTACATAGTATGTCTGATTATGTAATAAATAAGTTGACATGTAAACAAAGTCGTTATGTATGTATGCTCTGATCAAATTTGGTAATGTTTTAAACGTATTTATGTAAATGGTAACTTTTATTAAGGCATGATCTAACCACTATCCACTAATGCCAATACGACAATCCATTATTATATTACAAAATAGTATTTTGAAAAAAAGAGAGCACACTCGTTATTATATTGCAAATGGAATAATTTAGAAAGATAATCATGCAATGCAATCTAAGTAAAAACGTGTTAATCATGCAATGCAATCTAAGTAAAAACGTGTTAATAGGAGTTGATCATGGCGTTTTCAACTCTATGATCTGTTTTCTCATGTGCTCAGGTGATTTTGTAGGATAAAGTTCCTGAAACAGAGGTCATTAATTAAGATGAAGGTAAGATTTTATATTAGAAAAAATTATAATTTTTTTTAAAAAATAGATTATTAATAAAATATATAAAAATATCTAAATTATATAAAAATTTATAATTTTTGGATAAGCGACCATTCATCAATTTCTCGGTCCATCTCTACCACCAACTCCACCGCTTAGTATAATTTAATCAAGCAATTGCCTGATCGCTTTATATCTATATAATGAGGTGAAGATCAGGGCATTTGCAAGCAATTCCAAACTAAAAGTTAAGTCATGGCTAAGGGGACGAATGGTTGTGTCGATCATGGTGAAGAGGCTACGCCGCAAGGGCAAGCTGAAATACTTCATATCATGGATAGCTTCGTCGAAAGCATGGCTCTCAAGTGTGTCGTTGAGCTTGGCGTCGCAGACGCACTAAACTCGCATCCCCGTGGCGACAACTATCCGATGACTCTGTCTCAAATTGCTGCTCGCCTCCCGTTTCCGAACCTCGACATGGACCGTCTTTCTCGTGTAATGAGATTTCTTTCTTGCAGGAAGGTTTTCAGTGCTATGGTCGATAAAGAAAGTGGAGAGACGATGTACGGTCTCACCGATTCCTCGAAATGGCTTCTTACCGATAATAAATCGGAAAGCCTGGTGCCTACATTGCTTCTCGCTACGCATCCATGCGCCATGGCCGCCTGGAATTGCCTGGGTACAAGCATAGCCGAAGGCGGAGCGTGTGGATTTTCAAGAGCCAATGGCTCAACTTTGTATGAGTTCCAATCAAGAAACCATGAATTCAAAACTGTATTTGACGAAGCAATGGTTTGCAACACTAGGGTAGTTATGAAATCGGTTCTTAAGTGTTACAAAGATGGATTCAATAATGTCGGAACAATCGTTGATGTCGGAGGAGGATCGGGGGCTGCAGTGGTCGAGATCGTCGAGGCACATCCTCATATTAAAGGTTTTAACTTTGATCTTCCCCATGTAGTGGCTAGTGCACCCAAGTACCCCAATGTTAGCCATGTCGAAGGCAACATGTTCGACACTATTCCCGTTGACGCTCCCCATGTAGTGGCTAGTGCACCCAAGTACCCCAATGTTAGCCATGTCGAAGGCAACATGTTCGACACTATTCCCGTTGACGCTGATGCAATATTTCTCAAGGTATGTATGTATGTATGTTACGGATTAATTATTTGATACATTGATAATATATAAACTGGATTTTAACATTAAATCGATGTAGTGGATATTGCACAACTGGAGCGACGAGAAATGTGCGGAAATCCTGAATAATTGCAGGAAAGCTTTACAGGAGAAAAAGGGGAAGTTGATCATAGTGGAAGCGGTTCTTCGACCGGAAAGCGAAAGCCTTTCCGACGTCGAAGCACATAGGTATGATTTAAAGATGCTGGTTATTTCTCCAAGCGGGAAGGAAAGAAGCAAAGATGAATGGAGGAAGCTACTGAAACTAGGAGGTTTCCCCCGTTACAATATCATCAACATCCCTTCTTTTCTATCCATAATTGAAGCCTTCCCTTCTTAACCAGACTCAAATATATATATATGCTGCGGTGATCCATCGATCGCTATTTATTTTAATCTGTTGCACTATGAGACTTGTGTTTTCATATGGTTCTGGTAATTACTGCCGTTACTCGAAGGAAAAAAAACTTTTAATAATTGAAGTTAGATTGTGGTTGAATTATGGGGATATCAGTTTGTTGATTAATTATTATATGTATTTATTTTCTTGTTTTTTTTAAAAAAAATTATGTTGTTGGTTTGTTTATTTCAGTAGTTTTAGAAAAAAAATCGACTTACATAATTAGTTTATTTTTTTAACCTTTTTATTTAATAAAATTAATGGTTATTATTAATTGAAAAAAAATAACGAACACATTATGATTTTAATTTGGATAAAAGATACCAACTAGTAAACAAGCTTCTATCACTCCAAAACCTGTTACACATGCCAATAATAATTTTAGATTTTAATTAGCAGGGATGGATTAAGGAAAGACGGGTAGGGGTGATCGCCCCCTCTAAAAAATTTAAATTCATTTATATTTTAGATTTTTCCTTTATATTTTTTTATTGAAAACATGTTTTCGTTCTCTAAAATTTATAAGTATATTTAACTTAAAATTTTATAAATTTGTCTCTTAACATAAAATCAGACCTGCTTATTAGTTCAGGTGAATTTGGTTACACCAACACCTTCGATCACTCCTGTATAAGTTTAATATATACAACAAGAAACTCAAAAAATTATGTTATTGTTATTATGTTATTTATAAAATATAATGTGAAATTATTTTTGAAAAAGGACTCATGCTAGGCAATTATAAAGGTTTCCTTTATTTTAAATCAAAATTTGTTAATGAGATCTTAGTTTAACAGTAAAGTAAATTTTTTAAAATCATGCATAAAATGCCTAAATTAGGATTTAAATTAATCCTATTATATAAGGGAAAACAGAAGATATTCAAAATTAAGATTTAAAGTTATATTCAATATAATATATATATAATTTTGTGCTATTTAGTCTATAATTATTATAGAAAATTATTTGATATACGGATTGTGTAAATTTTAATTTATATAAAGGGCTAAAGTTTAGATCATGGTTTGGTTTCCATAGGAAGAGGTTGGTTTAACTAAACAGATCTCATCAATTCGACTTGGGGTTTATTGCTTATCGTCTTCCATTCAATTGCTCCCATCCCTTTTCCCAATTCATAGTCACTCTCAAGATTTTCAGTGGTACGTTTCTCAATCCTTCATCCTTTCTTTTGAATCTTATTCTCCTGAATCTATCTACTGCTGCACTTACTTTCCTTATTGAATTTCGATTGATTCGATTCTGCCCGCTGATATCCTTTTTGTTAACTAAAAATAATTTCTTCGTAAGGATTCGCTTGTCGATTATGCTTATCATCATTTTTGAGGTTTAATTAACGATTGGTATGCTTCTACGTTACGATGTTTGAAAGGAAATACAACAATCCCGATTATTTTTACCTTTCGGTTTAGTTTTAGGAGGTATGTTTTTCGTGTCTGGAATAATAGTGAGGGTTTTTCTTTTCTAATATTATAAACATGATTGGTTTTCTGTGTGTTTTCTTTCCCAAAAATTTTATTTTTGGGCGGAATAAGGTTAGAATTTAAGACATTTTGTGTGGGGGTATTCTTGTGTTGACAGTGTGGGGTTATCGTCATGGAGATACAGACGTGTGGTAAGCCGATTGATTCATTGTTGGAGAAGGTGCTTTGTATGAATATACTATCCTCTGATTATTTCAAAGAGCTTTACCGATTAAAGACTTACCATGAAGTCATCGATGAAATCTATAATCAAGTTGATCATGTTGAACCGTGGATGACTGGGAACTGTCGAGGTCCTTCTACTGCATTCTGCCTTCTTTACAAGTTTTTCACCATGAAACTTACCGTCAAGCAAATGCACGGGCTACTGAAGCACTCTGATTCTCCTTACATTAGAGCAGTAAGTTGAATATTTCCCGTTTATCTTCTCCAATTTGTTTTTCAGCCCCGTAGAAATTTGTTTTGCATTTCTTAATGTATTTTGATTGTTGATGTAATGAGGCCTAGCTTTCCTACTTTTGTTAAACTGACGCTTGTTATCCACTTGTGAACATGTAGCTGTCATTTCAGCTTTATTGGGTTTAAACGTGACTTCATTACTGTATTGTAATAACCAATGTTTGTATTTTTGAACATTTTAGAAGTTAAAAGCCCTTGCTCGGTAGAGTGGTCTGTCTGACCTAGCTTTTCTTATTTTTGTTGTATTTATGTAAAAGTAAATATCTATGCATTATAATATTTTTGTTTTACTTAGCAGATAGCTACAAATAAAGGTTGAGATATGATTGTTTCTTTGAGTTGCCGAGAGTTTGCCCCATCCCATATAATAGTACCTTTGTATGCTTATGAGATGCCTGCAATATCAAAGGTTTGATGAGTCCCATTTTTTCCCTTCGTTATCATTGTTCTTCCAGTTTGCTCTGTATATCTACTATATCTATGGATTTATAGTTGACATGGATAGGAGCCATATTTCGTTGTTGCTACACTGAAGATTGGGCATGATGTAGATTTGCAAATTCTCTCACACGCTCTCTGTTTGTCACTCAAAAATATAAATGAAGGCTGATTTTTCATGTTTTTCTTTGATTATATTTCTAATACTTTTCACTCTGTATATTATTGATTTATCTGTTTTTCTCACTCAAGGTTCTGTGCAACAATGCACCACTATCTCATATTCTAGCTATTCACTCATATTGCGCGGACTATTCCAATGGTTTAACAATTGCCTAACTGCACTAAATCAGATCCCTTGCTGTCCGGTATCTTGAAATTATTCATGAAAATTCATGTTATTGTCTTGCATCTTGTTACAGATTTATTCTTTTCAATTTCTAGTTCTTTAAAGGTTTTAGCTAGATATATATATGGATGGTAGTGTATGGTTGATATTATGCTTTTAGATATTAACCATATAGTTAATGACTTAAAACTATGGTTGCAGATTGGATTCCTTTACTTGAGGTATGCTGCCGATCCGAAGACTTTATGGACTTGGTTTGAACCATACATTAAAGATGAAGAGGTACTAGATGTTTACTGCTAAATGTTGTGTTATCTTGAATTTGTAGCTTGATAAAATCTGTGTAAATACTATATCATTTACTTTTATGGAATGCATTGTGGATATTGTTATTCTTGTACAGGTTAGAAAATCTCTATCTCCCATAATTTTTGTTCCCAAATACGACATTAGTTTTTCCCCTAACCATCATATCTTTCTATAGTAATGTTTGATATTTGATGTTAAGTTTCTCTATTAATGGCTTTATGTCCATTTTGCTCTAGAATTGCTGATTGTAGTATGGCTGTACTATTTTCCTTTATTCATTTTCATGTATTGTAATTTGTTTAATGAGCAGTTTTATGTTTAAATACAAGTAAATATTCATCTCATAGATGACCATTACCTCGACACTCATACGTTTTTCCGTGGCAACTAAGAATAGGTTGACTAGTTAACGCAGTTAAGCTTGGGCTTGAATGGATATATCAAACCAAACCTTCTCTAGTTTGTCATCATATCCAGTGTGGTAACTCATAACTTCTGTATTCTTTACTTTGCAAGCACTTGGCTAAAATTATATTGTTCTTTCTTGCTGATTCCACTCCCCCAATCCTCGATTTTAGCATGCAAATCTTTATCTTCAAAAAAGAAAAAATAGCATGCAAAACTTTGTTTCCATTTTAGTCCTTTTCTAATGAAAATAAATATAAGGTTAAAAAAAATATAAAATTTATCACGTTTACCTTCCCTCTCCATTTTTTTGGCATATGGAAGTTTATTCATGTTTTGAGCACAACTTTTGTATCTTATTTCAGGAATTCTCTCCTGGGTCTAGTGGACGAATGACCACCATGGGGATATACGTGCGTGATTTGCTTCTTGGACAGGTTAGAGCGAACATTCTCCATGCTTTGTTATGCAAACTACGTTTTATTGAGAATGTCACCTTTTAATGATATTGATCAATTTAAATTTTATATGCATATTGTGCAAAAAAGGAATTGTTGTTCTGGGTTGGTTCATTAAAATCTGCTTCTAATTTATGTTAACTTATCTTCCCATAAGGACAGGTACTACACCTTATGTTTGAGATCCTCCGTAATAAACCAACCAGATATTGCATTTAATGTTATCCTTCTATCTGCAGGTTTAAGAATAATAAAATGATTTTTTCTCTTAATTCTAATTTTATTAAGTATACCTACTTAAGACGATGCACATTTGAGGTAATCCATATCTCATGTGGATGAGTACATCAAAGTTTGTCTGAACAGTTTGTTAGTGGCACAAATGGAATTTTATTTATGAGAGTGTTGGTTGTCAACTTATTACTAAAGCTAAGAGTAGGAATTGAAGACATAGTACAAGTAGCATTCCCTGTTAAACGTACAAAATATTATGCAAAAACCATTTGAAGTCTATTTAACAGTTGTAGAAGACGACGTTAAATCTCGTTTTAACATTAATTATGAAGGGGGGTTTTAACGAGGCCCCACCTTATTAAAAAAAAAGAACAGTCATAGAAGAAATTTGGGTTGATATTTGAAGAAATTCTTTGAAGAGCAACAGTGCAGAAGATAATTAATCTAATTAGCATTTCTGGCTTGATCCTGTAATGAAGAACGTAAATGCAAGATAACCTTGATGCTATTTGCATTCTTGTTTGACAAAGAATTTCTGGACAACCCAATTTTTGCTTGCTGCTTTTGTATGTTCGAATAAGGTACTATTTCTCAGTCTGTCCTTCAGTGTATCCTTCTATCTGTTTCTTTCTTGTCTTTTACAGTTTTTATTTTCAATGCATTTCATTGGTTTGCAGTGGCAATGCCAGGCCGAATGCATGCTTCTTTGACTCTTTCTGGATTGGAACTTGAAGCGCAGCCTATAACTTTCTTCTGTATAGGGCCTGATACTTAACAGAAAGTTATCATTTAGTGTACTATTTTAGTGTACTATTGTAAGCTCAGTATTCTTAGAGTTTTTCCTTGGTTGAGTTGAATGGAACATTTATTCGTTTGACTTCCTTTTGGTCATTTTGTCTTGATTTTTATGCCAAAGATGAACAAAATATGTCGATTGTTTCTAGACTTCTTTTGGACTTGCCATGTTTTTCTTAATTTTGTTTGTTTTCATTGTGGGGAAAAAATTGATGCTGATTTTCTTGTTGCAGTACTACTTCGATACTCTTTTCCCCCGAATCCCTGTTCCTGTTTTGCGTCAGGTTGTATCCCATCTTGAGAAGATGAAGCTGCCCACTAAAACATCTGGTTCAACTGGGGATAATAGTCTTCATGGATCTGATGACACCGCTCGCCGCCCACCTTCTGTAAAAGCTGCACTTTCAGTCTCTTTTGGTCAGCGAGCACCGCATCGGGCATCAACCAGGGACTCTTCTCCTGTGCGTCGCACTCTACCTCCACCTCCTTATGAAAGGTCCAATGGTGACGATGTAAGATCTCCCAGCCACCGTCGCAGCCAAAGCCGTGATAGAGAATATTCTGACAAGGATGGGGACTGGAATCGCAAAACAGATAGGGATAGGGAAAGGGAGAGGGGCAGAGACCGAGACCGGGATCATGACCATGATAGGCAACGAGACAGAAGCAGGGACCGAGATCATGACCGTGATCACAATAGAGAAAGGGAGAGGGAACGAAGACATGATTATGATCGAAGATCAAGGTACATGGATAAAAGGGACATTGATGACAGTAGGCGTTACAGGAGCAGAAGCCGAAGTCCTAGTTTGAGCGGAAACAGAAGCAGAAGTCAGAGTGAGAAAGGTGGAAACAGTCATTATGAACCACCACACAAGGAGGCAAGCAAGGCATCCAGCAATTTAGCAAAGCTGAAGGATCTTTACGGTGATACGAAGGGAGATGGTGGCTATGAAAGGGCAGCAAACAGGGACAGCAGTGGAGAAGAGGTGATTAGACTAGGTGGTTCATGGAGATAGTGCATTTCCATGTATGTTTTATTTCATTCATGCAGAGGATCAAATCATTTCAGGCAAAAAAAGAAGAAAAAGAACGCTTTTTGAACTTTTGGTTTCTGGACATGCTGCTATGCCTTGGCTAGGCTGTGAACTGATGGATGGATGGATGCAGTCATGGTCTCGCCATTGTATGTCATGTGTACTAATGTTTAAGTAACTTGTTAAATTTAACTTCAGATAATTCCAACATTTATCTGCGTAAACAACACGATTCTTATGTTTTGATGCCCACCTGTTTATCGGAAGCTTTTAGAAAACAGGGTAAAGTAGTCAATCTAAACTTTCAGTGCGAGTCTATTTTGGTAAACGTTTTCAATTTAATCGCAAACATTTGTCAATTGGTTTTTTCTAATCATTCAATCGATAATTTCTTTTGGTTATGATTAAATGACATTTTCTTTCAGCTTTTGTGCAAACTGAAGTAAATGAATAAGTTTCTTTTTTCATCATGTTTCAAAAATGTTGTAAAATAGTCACTAAAATTATCAGCCGTTAACACTTACGTCATTATCCTAATCATAAAAGGTTAATATGACACATTTGGTTAGTTTATTTTTTTTACTATTCGACCATGTCGGACCACATTTGACGACCCTTTTACACCAAGAATCATTGTATGACACTTAAAAGGTGGTTACTACCCATGACATACACATACATACAACCAATGCACAAATACAAAAACTCATTTCGTTCTTCCTTTCCTTTTTCTCGGTTTCCTTAGTAGTCTTATAATGACAATTCTTGCGCAAGGCACTATGAGAGGAGTCACCCAAAACAGAAATGACAATGTTTGATCATCTTTTAATGGTTTCAACAGCTAAAAGATTTCCTTCCACGATATTCATTTGTCCAAGCCTTAACCAAGTTATTTGGGTGTCCATGGTTGTAGAGTGACGTCGATTGTATTCTTTTTTCCCCAAGTACTCCACACTTTTCTTTTATGCGAGATTAAGATTTATTTTAGAATTGAGGATTCTCTCTAGAGAGGATTCTTTTTAAAGAGGATTACTTTATAGGAGTCAAAGGGTAATTATAATTCGACATTACCACTGAATATTAAATAAGTCAGTCGAATGTGTTACATTAATCTTTTATGAGTGGAGTATCAACCGGTAATAACTAAGTGATCAATTTGTTATAAAACGATAATATAGTGATCGTATTATAACTCCATAAACTTAAACAAAAAAAAAATATCTTTCACATCAGCAAAAAGAAATTAAAAAATCAATGACTACATTGAAGTTAAGTGACAAACGACTTTATTTACCCATAGAAAAATAGCAACCGTTTAATTGGCCTAGCTGAAATATTTAGTGACGATATTTAAAAGTAAATAATTATGTAGATTCAAACTTTAAGTGCTATGAATTATAATGGCATGGTAGGTTCAATGGTCAATCGTCTTAAAACTCAGGAAAGAGAGATTATGTTAAAAATAAGATACTCTCAAAAGAAAAACAGCACTAAATTAAGCACATCTTCATGATCACTAGCAGTTGGTGTCTGTGATATGAAACAAAGATAGAAAGTACAAAGTACTGTAGATGATTGATTTACACAGTTAATTTCAAGTTTTTCTTTTTCTTTTTACTCTCCAAACGGCCGATATGTACGGAGCCAGGTGAAAACTCTCGACCTTCACAGCTGTCGGCCTATCTGTATGGTGATGTTTAAGACTGAAGAGTAATGAGGATGCCGTTATAAGTGTTAAACGAATAATAACAAAACATGATGCTACTGCCTAAGCTGTCATGTGTTCGCTCCCGCCGCTTGGCTCCTCCAACATCTCGATCACGGGAGCATACTGCACAAGTCAAAACGGATACGTATGTATTTACGACACAAAGAGAGAGTTTGAATATCATGGAGATGAAAACATTAGAGAGACCTCATCATCTTCTTCAAAGTAGATTCCATCGACTGCACTTTTCGGTTGGAGCTCCCATCCTAAACTGTTTTCAAGCAGCTCTTTTAATTTCCTTGTCTGCAAGTGCATAAAGATCGAAACTCAGGATTGAAACTGAACATAGAAGGAGCATGCTTAGTGCACATACCCATGAGAGAAGATCTCCATCAACAATTGAAGCATCTTCCACCAGAGAAAAGAAATCCTGTAATTCCATCATCAAACCACTAATCAAATGTAAGAGTAGGCTAATGTTTCTGAAAAAAATGGTTACAAAATACCAGCAATTGATGAAAAGAGGCAGGTTTAGTCTTATCTCGAGGCAAAATAATCACGCAAACAATCGGTCAACACTACCATGTATCTGAAAACCATGAAACTACCTTGCAAAGGCAGTGCAGAAAGCTATCGGAAGAGAACCACGAATCGTCTAATAATGCTGATGCACCTGCCTCTCCAACACTGCGATCTTTCTGAAGTCCATATTTTAGTTGATAGTAGATGACCTTAATGAACTGTCACAAGCTTACCATATGTTAGAAATTAACATTAAACTATAAACATCAAAGCAGGCAAAAGGCATAACGTGATGACGGATATCAAGCAGAAAGTGAGAGAGGGAGGAAGGGAGGGAGAGAGACATTCAATTTAGAAAATTACCTTAGTGAACAACTGACTCCTCGTACGAAAAGGCTGCAAATTTATACAACAGAAAAATCAAGACCAAACAAAATAACAAATCCATTGGCTGTAAACAAGCACCCCAAGCAATTTAACAATGAAAACGAGCCAAAAAGATGAATATACGTGAAGGGGAATGTAAACATTTTGAATGGAGCCAACAAAAACATTTACGAAGCAGACAGAATGTTTGATGGTTGGGATGGATTTTGTGCATCCAAGGTCAGACCTAAGATCTCTTACCAATAATTTTTTCTATAATCGAGCATCCATATTCATATATATTAACATTCAAGTTGTTGCTTCTATTGTTGAAGCTTCATGTGACAGTGTTAAGCATTCAAGAGTCTGGTTTAATTCAAATCATCGTGTCAAGCATTGGCTGTCTACTCAGAATGCTAAAAGTTCAATCTATCAGGATAACAAAAAAGAACCAGTAGTTAGTCACCTCCTCATTCGGTATATATACACCCCTAATCGTTGATAATGGGTCAATTAACTTAACACTTAATATTAAAAAAACAACATAATGTGACCATTAAAGTTAGAAACCACCATTTCAAATACACTAGTTTGCAAGTTAATCAAAAATTGGAAGATGAATACTTACAGCCTCAGTACAGCCTAACAGAAGGCTAACCAAAGATTTCCATTGCATGAACGCTTCAAGTGATTGCCCCATCTGCAGGTTCATTAAATGTGTAAAATTCAAACAAAATCCAATCTTAAGGTAAAATGTCACGTTATTCTATTTTATACCAGAAAAGCTATAAACGCAAATTGCAGCTCCCCAAGAAGTGACTCTTCAGAGCCACCATAACCCTTCACCATTATGGTCTCTAATAGTTCAGTCTGCATAGAGAAGAAAAAAGATTACAATTAAATTAGAAAATTCCATTCAGAAGATTTTCAAATTTAATTATGCTAAACTCCATGATTTAGCAATACTTGCCTTGTCAAAGATTCAAAGAAGTAAGTTGTTGACTTTCAACTCCCTTGCGCTTTATGATACGGGGTATTACTGTATAGTAGCATCCTCTTTTTGGATGCTTCTCAGCAGGTGTAGAGAACTTACTATTCCTCAACTGCTCATCTAAAGCTTTCTCCACAGCACTTTTACAAGTATTCTTCACAATCCCAGATTCATGTGTAACCGTAATTTCTCCTCCAATGGGTTCTGAACATTGGATGCATCATGTTAGATCATTCTAAGGTAACTATAATCGGAGAGAATGTTATATATCTAAACCCAACAAAGTTGTCATATCACTAAACATAAAAAATACAACACGTAACACATGGATACCCCAGGTAAACAGTGTAATCTTAACAGCCACAAGTCAAGCACCCATTTTGATGAAACCAAATCAACAAATTTCATGAATCATAAGAGTTTTCTTTCAGGATCCATTGTTTATGGCAAGTATAACAATATGGCATATCTACTAGGTTCAAGTCTCAATCATTCTGTTAAACCTGTTAATGGAACTCTAAAACCTTTTTGCACATTGCTAAAAAATGAATGCAGTACAAATTGCCATTCAAAATTATGATGTTAATGAGCAGTCTACCTAGCCCACAAGTTTCTGATTAATCTCACTAGATACCATATAATCCCCTGTTAAAACCAAGAAAAATGATAAAACAGAAACATAAGCAACCCAGGTGAAGTATTAAAAGCGTAAGCTTCCATACATAAGCAAAAGTAAACACATCATAAGAAAAGTGACATACACATGGAGAACAAACCTAATCGTTCAATGGTGCTTTTTGTAATGTAATTAGACAATCTCTTCCAATCTACATACTGGCTTAGATCATAGGGGCCCAGATTCTTGTCGAACTCCAAACTTCTAACTGCTTGTGTGTATCTCTCTTTCCTAGAAACAGAAATGAAGAACAAACTAATTATATGCATTGTTTTCCTATCCATTACCATCCAATACAAGTTACTTCAATCACCTTTTATAAGTATGACTTGCACAATTCATAAGTGGGTCTAGACATAAAAATGGTGATGATTAATGTAATAGAAATTAACAGGCAAAAATCTAGTGGACAGGATAACAACCCAACTTTTGAGGCTTGAATTCCCATGTTACAAAATCTGTCATTATCATTCTACTAGGAATTGATATGTAAATGGTCATCAAAAAGAATACAAGAAGCAGAATTAACAAGAATATGAACCTCTTCTTCTGGAACTCTGATCAAGCATTCCTCTTGTTGATCCCACACACGAACAACCACCTGTCAGTGGAAAGATATATTCATACAAGTTATGTCTTACTCCCTATATGAGATGAATTAACAAGAACTTTGTGTTTACTTGAGCCCATATTCTTGAAAGATTCTAACATATCAGTGAGGAACAAGCAAATGGAAAAATTAAAACACTAACCAGCCTGCATTTTTACTCAGCAAAGAAGATAGATAACAATGGCTGCATCTCAACTATTGTAGTTTAGATAATATAAGTGCTCATAAACACCTTAATTAGAAAAGAGGGAATAATACAGCAGTACACAATAAATATTAGAATCAAGAAAACTTTATCCTATGACAATAAAAAACTGTGTTTACCTTTTCTACAACCAAAAATTTTCTATAAGCATGTTCAGAGGAGTTCAAACCTGAGAGTGGCCAGCATCGATAAAGAAGCCAATAATTGGTGAAAACTCTTGGCCATCTCTGCATGTTAACCAATGAAGGCCAATGATATTCATCTCTAAATGAAGTATAGAAGCAAATAATGAGGAAGCACGTTATGCTAATTTGATCTAGTGATATATCTTGTATCAGGTGATGGGTTAAGATCTTATCAGGTTACTACCAAGAAAAATAACAACAAAGTAAGTTTCTTCATTCCTGTTACATGTGATCCACTTCTAATTTTACTTATCAATTCATTAAAAATGTGTTTATAGAGTTCTATCTCTCCTCCTGAAAGGATCATCGTCCACTAACTCATATATTTTCAAAGGCCTCATCTTTACATACGAAAACCACCACAAATTTGCTCCATTCATTAATCACAAAAAGGTGCAACACCCACATTTTCCTTGTGCATTCACTCCAAAATCTTATCGTTCTGTAAATTCCAACACGTCCGCATAGCATCTTCATCAAAGCCACACTATTTTTTTCTCCTTGTTATAACATGAAAATTTCAGTTGCCCAATGTTCATTCACGTAGAAGAACATCAAACCAACAATACTTTAAAGCTTAATTCAGTAGTTACCATAATGATATAAAGAATAATCATTTATGACACCAACAACTAATTCAACTGAAAAGGTACTAAACATAATTTAGCTGATGCCTGATGACTTTGCAACTATTATATAGAAAAAGAGAAGTTTTTTATATATAAATAACCTGGTAGAAGAGCTGTAGAAGACGAAATGAACCCCCGGGGGAATCATTTTAATTCCTTTAAAAGCAGGCCCCACAGAAAATACCTGCAAATAAGACACCCCAACAATGGTGGAACCAATTATAATTTGAGAAATTGTGAGAAACAAAGAGAGATAGAGAGAGAGAGGGAAGGAGGGGAAGTACTTGAGTGTCGATGCCGATTTTGAATGAAATACTAGATTTACTTTATATATTAATATAATATCATTTGTTTATATACCATGTTAATAAATAATTTAAAATATAAAATATTTAATTAAAAAATGTAGTATAAATTGTCACTTAGGATTACATATATTTTTAGTTTTTCTCTAATATTTGGAAACTTCAAATAAGATCACTTGTGTATTGGTTTATAGTACTAAGATCATTGTAACGATCTCATGAGAAATTGAAACATTACATTTCTAATATATATATATATATATATATATATATATATATATATATATATGTTTTAAAATCCAACGATAGATACGTCATGTATTCTTTGTGGAAATGAAATGGAGGATTTATAAGTTAACCTTGGATTAATCCCCTTGCTTTTGTTTGAACCATATTCTTTGTGGAAATGAAATGGAGGATTTATAGTTAACCTTGGATTAATCCCTTGCTTTTGTTTGAACCACAAAGAAAAGATAGTTATTAACATTAAAATTAAACCGATCATTCCTAATTATTGGTTTTTACTCTAATAAAAATCAATTTAATTCCATGTTTCATTGAATTCCAGTTATTACATTAGTTGTCAAATGTTAGGGAGCTTAGATTCTTTTTCATCGTGAATGTACACTATCCAACTTCAATGGAATTAAGGGGAATGGGAATCCAGTTAAAGTGTTAAATCTCTGCCAGTACTACATTTATAAAACCCATTTGGAACTCAATACAACTAAAGGTTTGTTCTCTTTATTTCGTGCAATCATTTACCTATGTCTGTATTTATCACGTCATATGAAAATATAAACGCTTTAGGTCTCACCGGATTGATTCTCGATAACTAGTCTTCTTCAAACTTATAGCTCACCAATCGGCAATGTACAGTAGGTAGACGCCGATGCCATCAGCAGTTCTTGAGTCTCTTCCCGAATTGTCAATTGACCCACAGCCAAGCCAATTTCAGGGTCCATTGCTTCCTGAAGAAAACAAGTAATATGACCATGTGATCCGGGTTCACTAGCTGCGACAATCTAAGGTCTTGATCATCCTTCTTTTCCAGATTGTGGTATCTGGATCGAATCTCAACTCCCATGTAGGCCAGTAGTGCAAATCCTGCTTCAACGTTAGAACTCGAGGCTTACCAGTCAAATGGAAAGTCTTCACACGAACAAACTCCCCGTGTTCTAATTTCTGTTCACATAAATAGGGCATTTAATTATCATTCAACTAACCAATGCTAAACAACTAGGGAATAAATATTAAAAAAGAGAAGAAAAAGCTAATAAATCGTATCGAGTCTGGCAAAGAAGGAAATGAAAACAAGTGTTACCTTTGTTACATTCACAAAAGCATCTAAATCAGGAGTTGGTTTTCCATTAACTTCAACGATCCATTGTAGGGCATATAACCCATATCTATGAACAGGACTACCGTGACACCACCTGAGAAAAAGAACAGATTGTTACAAGAAATACACAAACTATTGCAAATGTAACTTCAGTTAAAAAGGTATGGGTTTCCGAAATAGAAACGTGTTTTCGTGTGTGGGTGTTTAAACTGCCAATGCGGCATATAGAACAACAGAATTTTACTGGATTAGTAATGTAATACTCAGCAGATTAGCTCAAATAACATTTGAACTAGAGTATTATAAAAGCCTCTTACTAGAGCATTGGGTTCCTGAATTCTTAATTCAAAAGCTGAAACATTTGACTTGAATATCATAGAATGATAGCCCACAATTTTTTGTTGAAAAGCGGAAACATGTGAAAACAGGCTCACCTTAATTGAAATTATAATTTGAAATATCTTAGAATGATCTTTAAGATTTGGTTAATACTGGTGCCTATGTTTCTCTTACAGAATGAGACCATTAACTGAAGTAAAAATTTACTTATTAGCACGTTATCTTAGAGCTTTAGAAAAATGAGATAAATATGTACTAATTATTTGTCAAATGTTCTGCTACAATCAGCAAAAAGCTTCTGAGAATAATCAAATAGAGATTCAACAAATTCCAAATGGTATTTGATTGTCACTCTCGCGAAGTTAGCAGTTATTAATATATGCCAGATCCTAAAGCCACCAAGGTTTATAAAAAGCTTCAAAGCATACAAGTTCAATTAACCTGATATCTTATGTTTAAAATCAGATTCTAATCACGGCTTTGAGCAATCAAACTAGCAAGAATTTTTCTACCTTCAGGTATGTTCATAAATTGGTCAAGGAATTCAATTATGCTACGTTTGGGAGGAATGCTATTTTTTCCTTATGTTTTTGTAAATGAGTTAGCAATAAACTAACAACAATTGGTAATTTTAACCACTCAAATGATTAAGTTTGAACAAAGAGAAGGAATATATATTGCTTATTTTGAATAGGTATTACTTTTAAGTTGAGCTTTTATCTTTATAATCTCAAGTTTAGATTTGTATTGATTCTTCTTTATGTTATGCTAAATTATTTTAAAACTCATGTAATGATCAAGATTTTCCTTGTATCAATACTTATGTAACCAAACGTAGAATTAGTTCAGTAGCAGGGTTATAATGTATTATCGAGGCTAAAAAAGGTTCCACTGCTTTACTACCACATGCTATGTTCTCATCATTACTTTCCAACTAAAAGAATACGGATACTTTTCTACTAAGAGGAAAAAGACCCTTACCGTGCCACATAAACGCCATGCCCTTCCTCAGGAAGATATCCAAGAGCACGCACAGCTGAATGAGGATCCTGAACAATACAACCACACCAATTAATAACTCGTGTTGACCCATTTCCATCCCTAACATCTGTACCCACAAGAAGATCAATTCCACGCCCCTGGCAAACAAGACAATTACAAAGGAAGTCAGGCAAAATGGTATTAATAAAACTTTTAAGTACAAAACACAAAGCATTTATATAGTACTGAAGCTTATGAAAATTCTTTTAGTCAAACTAATAATGTAATAATTACAATGCGGAATTGATAATCTTTCTGCCTGTATCTATTGCTTACCTGCCGAAAAATGGTCATATTAAGGTTCCCACCATTGTCCCCATTGTCCAATGCTTGACAAGCATATTCTATGTCACGAAAGCAAGTAACAGGCTCTTTATTTACTGCTAAAACCATGTCACCTTGTTCTAATAAATTTTCAGCTTTTGATCCTGCCGAACAACCTTTAACACGTAAAACTTGACGTCGAACTGGATCTTTCTTAGCAAGAGCCTAAGAAAATAAAATGATATTGATGTGACCATGTGGAAATGTCACAAATACACAAAGAAAACTGCAAAGAGGCTATTCTCCCTAGCATGTCCTAAGTATTGCCAAAATGTTGTTTCAAAAACAAAAATTGCTATAGAAAGTTGATAGAAAAAGAAACAAAAAGAATACTTGTATCCAGTCATCGCTCAATCCAAAGCTTCTGGCCTTTGAAAGCAGAGTAGGATAAAATTCAACCTCTAGAATCCTCACAACCGGCATCGGCCTTTTGACACCATTTATGAGAAGAGGCGGTCCATTCGCACCAGCTATGATCTTGTCCAGACTTGACTTATTGCATAAACTGGGATGCCCCTCACAAATTGATGATCTTCTTGTAACAACCCGATTTTCAAAATAATATTTAATTGAAATTTTAGAGGTTAATTGTGTAAATTGGTAAATTGTTGGTGACTAAATCAAAATTTATGAGAGTTTATAGGCCATTTTAGAAGTGAAGAAAATCCAAGGACCAAGCCTTGAATTTACCCTAAAACTGTCGGCAGCTTTGATTATAAGCGTGCATTTGGTTCTGATTTTCAGAACCAAAAGGCTCCCAATTTTCCTTTCCCATACGCAGTTTCCAACTCCGATTCCGACGCCGTCCAAATTCCGATCATCGTTTTAAACCCACCGTTGTGTTCATCATCGAGCGAGGAACAAACCCTTCAAATTAATTGAAGCGAAACGCGGCCAAACGTCGGGAATTTCCAGTCAAAGTAGCGACGGTTTTGTTAGCTCTATCGCCGAGGAAATCTTAAATTCACCGCTGATCGTTGCTCCGTTTACGACACCTCCCGCACCATCGTGTTCCTTGTGCCGTTCCGAGTTCACCGGTGTCAACCTTGTCCGCCGTAGACGGCGGCGCGTGAGGAGGTGGTGCAGTCAAAGATTCGGCCGATTTGAAATCGAGCTCTCCGCCGTTCAAAAATTTGAACCGATCGTTGTAAGTATCTTGAAATCGCTCAAAATAATTTTTAGAAATTTTTCCGGGATTTTTAGGGCCCCGGAGGACTCCTCACGCGCCACACGCGCCGCCGCAGGGCGAGTGGCTGCTGGAAACCGGTTTAACCGGTTTTCAACCGGTTCTGACCGGTTTGACCGGTTTCAACCGGTTCGAACCGGTTTGACCGGTCTGACTCGGTTTGACCGGTCTGAGCCGGTTTGACCGGTTTGACCCGACCCGACCCGACCGTTGACCCCGACCCGACCCGACCGTTGACCGTTGACCGTTGACTTTCTTTGACCAAAACTTAAAATGGCTTTGACCGAGCATTAAACGACCGTTAATCTTTTCCGAGTATACCTATCCTGATAGTTTTCGACGTGCCGAATCCGTTTCCGTGGTCTGTTTTGTCAAATTCGAATCCGAAGGTCTCCAAATCTACGGTCAAAGTGGTTGACTTTGACTTTGACCAAGAATCTGAATTTTCAAAAAGTCATACTTTATGTTTTTCGACGTCCTGATTCCGATTCCACAGTCCGTTTGGCCAAATTCAGACTCGAAATACCCCAAAATGATAGTCAAACCCGAAAAATGCTTATATACTTAAGAATTCTAGCTTTGAACAATTAAGTAAGATTTGGGGCTGATTAATTATTATTGTTTGAAGGTACAAGAGACTCTCCGGATCGTTCGATAGCTCGACCCAACTCTTCTAGATCAGTTAAACCACGTATACCAGTATTCACTCGTAAGACTCGTAAATTTTATGATTTTAGAGATTTATTTATGTTACCCATT